GTGCTTCTCACTCTCCTAAAGTTAAGGAGAGCTTTATGTTGGTAGCCTCAGCTATATGAGATAATAATCACATGCTGGTTGTTCTCAAAAGAAAAATCAGAAAACAAAAAAGAAGCAACCTACAAACAAACAAATTAAGTAATATTTAATGCCAGGATTTTGTATCTCTCCAATAAAATAACCCACCATTTTGACCTGGATGAAATATTTTAATTATCAAACTGCCCTTCTCAATGTTATTGGTTGTCCACCTTTGGTAATCTTTAGTCACTCTGAGTGAGAATCAGGTCCTAGGTTAAAAAAAAAAAATGACCACTAATGTACAGTTGATATATGAGGGAGGTACTGTAACTCTGCCTTTCCTTGTGTGTAAAATGGGGATGATGAGATAAATTAGTGACTCAATCAGTTAGCAGAACCTAATTCAAATCCAGATCAAGTACAAGTGTGTCCTCTTTTTTTTTTTTTTCTTTAAGATATTTATTTACTTTAAAGGGTGGGGAGCAGGGGTCAAGAGAGAATCCTCAAGCAGACTCCAGGCCGGGTATGGAGCCTGACACAGGGCTCAATCCCACAATGCTGAAATCATGACATGAGCCAGAATCAAGAGTGGGACACTTGACTATGCCACCCAGGTGCCCCCCCCAAGTGTGTCCTCTTAATTCTGTGTCCACACCATTACCTTTGTGAGGACCGACACCTCTCTAACCTGATAGTCTCTTTCTCAGGGGACAACTGCCCTTAAAATCATTCAGCTTTGTCCCCATCCTTCCTTCCAATTTCCTTTCTCTCCTACTGAAAAATAGAGCCAAGGCCCATTTTGACTTTGAGATCTCAGACTTTCCAAAGAGTCAGAATGCAGTGTGATTTTGTACTAGACTTTGTGAATCTCCACCTAGGTTTCCCTCAGCCTTCTTTGTGAATTGCCTTGGTTGGATTTGGCTTACCTGGAACAGCCCACATCCACTGACTGGTCCACACAGAGACACAAAAGGCCAGCTCTCCTACCACATTTCGGGACATTGTGAAGGGCCATCATGACAGCCTCAGAGCAGAGCCCATATTGTTCCCTTGCCAATCTTGCTCCTTTTTTCTCCTTCCTTGGGGACTGATCCCAGGAGCTCACCCTAATGCATTTCTTACATGTTTCCATTTCAGGGCCTATTTCCTCAGGATCCCAACATCATCAATTCCTGAGGAGACAGAACATGAGTTAAACATGAGATGAAGAAATCCAGTAGAGGTGGGGATAGAGTGGGATAGGTCTCTTTCAGAGAGTGCTATGAGGACTTCATGGATTAATATGTGTGAAATGCCAAACAATAGTCAGTAAGCTATAAATCCCATGTAAGTTTTGAGTTGTCATTATGATCATTATATAGTGTTATATATTATTACCACTCATAATCTTGGAGTCAACAATCCAGCTGCACAAGTCATTGAAGGATTATGACTTAAGAGCAATTTGTGTGATTTCTCAGGAGTCTGCAAGATCCCTGTGAATGTATAGAATGGGATGCTTCTGAAAAAGTTGCACTTGATCTGAAAGTTTATGAAGAGAAGTGTAGTTTCACAACAGAAGAAATGGTAGTGCTTTCTCTGTGCTGGTCAGACTGTGTCCACCATATTGGGTGTGGCTCAGAGTACAGGAGAAGGTGAGAAATTTAAGGGGAATGACCAGGACAGATTGAAGCAGGTGTCTTTAGCTTTAGATTTTTCCACCTTCCTCTCCACCTCCCAGCTCGCCCCACATCTGTCTGAGAACTACCTGTAGATCCTCATCCATCACTTTGGGGAAGCTGCCCTTGACTACCTTCTCACTTAAAGATTTAAACAATTTCTTCCTTCTTTTTACTTCTAGATCATATATGGGTTTTGTTGTTATTTGTTTTTTTTTATCATTGCACCTATTGTTTTGCCTTAATTTGGATTTGGGTCTAATTTATTTTCTGTCCCTTAAGACAGGTTAGATGCTTGTATATTAGTTTCCTAGGGCTGCCCTCATAAGTTGCCATAAACAGGCAGCTTAAAACAACATAAACTTATTTTCTACAGTTCTCGAACCCAGCAGTTTAAAATCAGCTGGGCTGTGCTCCTCTAAAGACTCTGCAGGAGAATCCTTCCTTGCCTCTTCCAGCCTTGGGTGGTTCCATGGTCGATGGCTCTAGTCTCTGCCTCCATCTTCATGTGGGTCTTCACACAGCCTTCCTCCATGTTTTCTCCTCTTTTCTCAAAAAGCCCTGTCATTGGTTTTGGGGTCCACCGTATTCCCGGATGATTCCATCTCAAGATCCTTAGCAGGATTATATTCTCAAAGAATCTTTTTTCCAAATACAGTCACATTCACAGGTCTCAGGAACACATATTCTTGGTAGACATCCCTCAACCTACTACAGCATATATATATTGAATTCACCATGGAACTAGTCCACCAGTTCTAAACTGTCAGGTAGGTTAGGTCTACTCAAAAAGCAATGGGAATCATGGAAGGTATATTAAAAAAAAAAAAAAAAAAAAGGAGGGATCAAGAAAACAAATGTGTGAAGGGATACCAGATGGGTTTTGTTAACTGACCATGCAAGTGGGAGGTGGAGAAGAGAAGAAAATCAAGGATGGCCAGAAGGTGTCGAACCTCAAGTGCCAGGAGGATAATCAAGAAAAGAGGCTGGATGGTGTGGGGTGATGTATTCTTGCTCTTGTTTTGGCAGGATGTGAGATGTTTGGAAGAACAATTAATTGGCTCACCTGCTGGTTCTCTGTGCCTCAGTTTCCCCACAAGCCAGTGGCACTTCTCACTTTTACAGGATGTCCTGAGTTTTCTGGGCAATGAATTAACTTGTGTTGCTTCCCTGGTGGGCACTTGAGTAGGATCAATGACAAGTAATAGAGTAGCAGTTTAAAAATGCTGATGTGATTCATTTTACGACATGGGTGGGACAGGCTGAGTGGCCCACAGGAAGGACAGCTGGTCCCAAACGTTTGAGGCCTTGTAAAATGATGCATATCTACTTAACACTGCTGTAGTAAACAGAACTGTCATTCCCAGGCTCACAGACACAATGGCCAACTTGGGAATGCTGAACCTTCCAAGGTCAGATGCAATTTAATGCAAAGCAAACAATCTTGACCCACCATGATTAACATTCTTAAGCACATTTTCTGTGACAGACTGAAACTTTATGATTCTTTCAACATTGTACTTTTTTTTTTAAATGTGTCTCTAAAAACTGGAGCCCTAAAGAATGATTTAAAATAGAGAAACCTGGTAGGGGGTAAAACTGTGGAACTGGACATTTCAGTTTTCCTTGAGATTAGCAAACAAAATTCAAAGCCAAATAACTGGGAAGGAGCAGGAAACTGGGAGAGAACCACTTTGATTTCTAATCTATGCTCTTTCCATGCATTTCCAAAGCAAATAGACTTTAACTACTTACTATCCAGGTAAATTGCCATTTATTTGCCAGGTCCGTTAACAGTTTCCTCACATAATCCATTGTCGGAGGAGGACCTCCCCGCCCGGCCCATTTTCTCTCTGTTCCTCAGTGGTTTTCAGTGAGGTCCGGCCCTGAGCTTCTGGAAATCACTGGCTCCCGGTTCCCCTAAAGCACATCTGACATGCACCTGGCCAGAGGTCAGCGCTCTGGCCTTCAACCAGCCTGCTCACCGTAGCCAAACCCCCTTGGCTCTCAGGCTCCTGTGTCCTCGTCTGTATCTTGGAGCTGAGAAGGAGACCTGCCCGTCTGAGGGTTGCTGTCAACATCAAATACAAAAAGACTTTGAATTCAACTCTCTTCTTAAAGTTAAAAAGTTGAAAACAAATTATCTGGAAAAGTAAAGGTAGCATCCAGGATGTTGGGTTCTTAAGATATCTAGAAAGAGGTTGAGGAAATTCTCAGAATCTTTCCCATTCTCCTACCATGGGACAAGTTAAAGCCATTTAGGCAAACGTTATGTGGGCTGTCAGAGTGCACAAATGTTCTGACATGACAGAATGAAACTGAGGGCTTCCTTCTCCATGCGGGGACAAGTCAGGATTTCCCTGGTAGCAGAGAGACCCACAGGATTCGGCACATAAAGGGCATGCTCACTTCTGTGGATGAGCCCAATGGGCAGGCCATTTGTTGATTCTTTATTGATTCATCTATTTGTATCTTACAAACATTCTTGAAGTCAGGGAGCCAGTGTGCTGGGAAAGAAATAATTCTCAGGATATGGCTATACTGTCAAGCCGCTAGTCCAGGGGAACACAATTGCATGAACAGGCACATACAAGTCACTATGATTTAAAAAATAAGATTGTTTGTTTACTTGTTTATGGCCTATCTCCCCAACAACAGTAAGATTCATGAGGCAAACTCCATCCATCTTCTTTAACAACTGCATCTCACCACATGGCCTCCAGCCTGGTACAGAGTAGATTTGATAACTGTTCATTGAGTTAATGAGTGAATGGATCTGTGAACAAATGAATGAATGATTAAACAGAGATATATCAAAAGTCCTAAAGAGAAAGCAGCATAGAACTCATGGGAAACTAGTATTGGAACTAGACCCTAAAGAATGGAAAGGTTTTTGGCAGATGGAGAGGAGGCCAAAGAAAAATCTAATCAGTGATGTGGGAGCATGCAGAAGTAGGGCCCAGAGAGAGGACAGTGTGGGGCCCTGGCAAGGGGACGGGATGGGAGGGAACAGAGACACAGACAACAGAAATTGTGCGCAAGGCCGCTGAGGCAAGCATCTCAGCGATCGTGGGAATGAGTTTGGATTTCGTCCCCCAGAAAGGGAAAGTGGTGTGGCTTTTCAAGCAGGGAGTTGACATGATAATATCCTGCGAAGTAGAAAGGTCACAGTCACTCCTGCTGCATTTTGGTGTGTGGATTGGATCCGGAGGCCAGGAAAGCAGGTAACAGCTTGATGCTGGGGATTAAACTGAGATAAAAAGAGCAGAATGAAGATGGAATAGAGCAAGGCAGAAGGGGCAGGAGAGGGGAAATCCGGGCATGGCGATGTTGGTGTTGGGGACAGGAAAGAGAAAGCTGAAGGTTAGTGCCCAGGCTGCTGGTTTGGAAACTATATGAGCAACAGAGCTGCTCACTGGGAAAGGGGCTCTGTCTGGAGGATAACGAAGCAGAAATGTCCAGAGAAGAGATGCCCATGTCAAGAACTTAGAAGGCATGAAACAAGTTTTGCCCAGATAAATAGAAAATAATGAAATACATGAAATAATACAATAATTAAATGATTTTTGAAATCATGAAAGGATGAAAAAAATAAAATGAAAAACAAACTGAGGGTTTTGGGGGGGGTTGGGTAAGCCTGGTGGTGGGTATTCAGGAGGGCACATATTGGATGGAGCACTGGGTGTGGTACATAAACAGTGAAGTTTGGAACACTGAAAAAATTTTTAATTTAATTTTAAAAAAATAAAATAAAATGAAAAATAACAAAATAACACTTCATCTTTGTGTCAGTTTACACAATGATGAACTATATCAAACGACCCACTAAATTTTTTAAATTTATTTTAATTTTTTTTTTAAGGATTTATATATTTATTTGAGAGAGAGAGAGAGCATGAGCAGGGGAAGGGGCAGAGGGAGAGGGAGAAAAAGAAACCTTAAAATAGACTCCCTGCTAAGCACGAAACCCAACATGGGGCTGGATCCCAGGACCCTGAGATCATGACCTGAGCTGAAACTAAGAGTTGAATGCTTAACTGACTGAGCCACTCAGGAGCCCCACATTAATTTTTTTTTAAACATTTATTTATCTATTTCAGAGAGACAACAGGGGGAGGAGGAAAGGAAGAGGGAGGGTAGGTGGAGAGACAGAGAATCTTAAGCAGGCTCCACACCAAGCATGGAGCCCTACGCAGGGCTCAATCCCACGACTCTGAGATCATGACCTGAGACTGGATGCTTAAGTGACTGAACCACCATGGTGCCCCTCACTAAATTTTTTATTTATCACTTCACAGCCTATAGGCTGCACACAAAATCCAAGATGGACAGTCCAATCGCCGATAGGCATTTCCCAGAGTCCTTGACTCCTGCGTGCACAGGCTGCCCACTGAGGGCCCACTGTGGGCCAGGAGCCGACCCCCACCCTACAGAAGCACCGTCTGCACATCTCTGCCCTCACAGGCATGGTCGTTGAGCTAGCTTAGCAGACATGATCGCAAGCTACAGGTTAAGACCAAAGGAAAATTACAACTCGGACACATGCTATGAAGGAGCAAGTCTCAGAGGGCAGGGAAGGTTCCTCTGAGGACTGGGCAACTGTTGAGCTCAGAAGTAGGAGTGAGAAGAGAGACAATAAACAATACCTGAAAGAGGCCTGGGGGTTAGGGTAGAGAAAGCCCAGGGACCAGGAAGAAGCAGGTTTGCCCCATGCGGAGGACACCAGGAGGACAAGAAGGTCAGCTGAGCTAACGAGGCAGCTGTCGAGGAGCATTCGTGGAGGAAACCATTATCAATAAATGTCTGCTAACGTTCACAAAATGCCTGCAAAAGAAATGGAAGTATCTCAAACGTGGCTAATTGAACGAACGAGGATGCATAATAGGGATGGTTTACGATAATGAGTGTGAACAGATTAACTCAATTTAAAATAATTTAATCTTTTCACAGTAAAGGCCATAGCAAAGTATCTAAGTTATATAGAATTCCAATAAATATTATTTGAATCTGAATTGCTATTGCTAAGTAATCTTCCTTCCTACATTGGATGATGTCTGCTAGCGTGGGCTCAAATTCGACTAACAGAGGAAGCATCTAGAACATTCTTTGGCCCACAGGCCCTGTCTCTCTTTGACAGCCTCCCATCAATTGCATGGTGAAGGTGTGATCCTCCTCATTTTACAGAGCAATGTCACAGGGACTCACGCAGCTCAGGGAGGGTGCCAGCGTGAGCCTGCTGATGTGGGACAGCAGCCCACATTCTCATCCTGACTGGGGTGCTTCTTCAGCCCACACTACCGCTCCTTGTAAAATAAAGCTCTTACATTTAAAAGATGTATATTGTAAAGTAATTAAATTACTTTAAACACGGATTTTTTTTAATCCCAATGGAAATGCAAAGAGAGATTTGGAATTACGTGTGAGACATTCATTACTTAAATCTGACTGGGTGGCTGTTTCTATGAACGAATGCACTTAATTAATTTTTTTCCCCTAGCTTCTTGCTATTTCCTGACTGTAATCTATTTTCCTTCATCCCAGGGGCAACAGAAGGACAACAAAAGAAGGATCCAGTGATTTGAAATTCCAGAACCTCTGTCTGCCGAAAAATAGGTCAGAATATTTCCTTGTTTATTAATAGAAGACTGAAAACGTAGTGTCTGTAGCAAATCAGCTGACCACCATACACACACACACTCACGTGTGCACACGCACGTGTGCACACGCACACACGCACACCAGGTTAATGTGATAGAATTTTATTGCTGCCAGTGGTCTTAGAGGTCACATGGAGACCAAGGTTCAGAAGGAAAAGAAACTCATGTGGGTTGAAATACCAGCACATGGGTGATGCAGGGAGAGGTTAAGAAGCCCTACAGCATCTGCAGAATTTCCCATGAGGGCTGCTTCCACCACCCACCAGTGGTCCAAACAGCCCAGAATTCAGCCACTAAGATGGAAACTTCCATTCCCAGCTGGTGAGTGATTTAAATGATGGATCATAGACGCATCAGGCCATGAGCCCATCACCAGCTCTCACACGTGAGGAGAATAGAGGAATCCATGTACCTGTGTGGTTTTTTCTCTTGGTCCTCCAGCTGAGCAAACACTTACTAAGCAGTCATGGCATTAGGACTTGCACAGGCTAAAGAATATGCAGAGATGAAAGACAAAGTCCTACCTCCAAGGGACTTAGAACCAAGTCTAAAAGCTCAGAATAGGGGCTAATTTCGTGAAAGGACAAGATTCCAATCCTGAAGCCAGTCCAGGTCGGCCATTGCCCAGCAGCCAGAACCTGGACAACACCTTGATGCCCAGAGAGGGTGGTCTCCCTGTGCCCCAGCAGAGCTCCCTCACTGAGCCCTGCCTGAGCAGCCTCCCTGCCTAGAAGCCCACAAGGGTTTCCGTATGTTATATACCACACCTTGCTTCCCAACACACTTCAACCGAGTCAACTGCCAAACACCCATTCAGTTCCTACTATGTGCCAGGCACCCAGGCGTTCTTAGCACCCTAAGATTTCCTTGAAGAACTATTTTCCCTAAGATGAGTATATGAATGCCTCTAAAACAGAATATTTGAAATATTGTCAAAAACCATATTAAGCAAAGGAAAATTTGTGGCTGTTCTCAGACTTGTTTAATGTTTACATTAAATACATTTGAATAATGCATTTTAAGTCAGTTTTTCTTATTTCTTGACAATAGCAAGAGATGGGAGCTGGAAGGGTTAGAAGCCTTCCTTCAAATGAAGATGGTTGCAGCAATCACATACATCAAAGTAATATTTACAGCTACATTTGAAAAAGAGAGAGAGAAAGAGAAAGAAAGAGCAGTGCTTTTTTCCGCAGCAAATTATTTCAGGATGTGTCATAGCATGCTCAAGATATATTAAAAAGAGCAACAGACGATGCTTCTGCAACCTGTTCCAAACCATTTATAAACCTAAATTTAAAAAAAAAATCCCATATGCATACAAATCTCTGTACCGCTGCGTATTTTATAATGAAAGTATTATATGAGTATAAATTCGTATTTGAGATGTATAAATTAAATCAAAATGTCTGAAAACTACATATTTGGGTCTACTGCCTCAAGAACTATTAAACTGATTAATTCATTCTCTGTACAAATGATAATTATCAGCATTTGGCAGGGAGGAGAGAAGACGGGTGCTGTGGGCAGGCAAGGCAGACCCCTGGGGCTCCAGGTCTCGGTGTCAGCAGACCTGCTCCCTCCCAGAGCAACCTCAGCCTGACAAGCCCATTTCCTATCTCAGTGCCTCATATACTTTAGAAAGGCTACTTGAAAGCGAATGGGTAGGCTGTCTTGTCCCCCACTGACCCCTGTACATAAAGCAGTGCCTGTGTGTGGGAAATAAATGGGGGACCCCTGCAGCATGACTAGAACATACTAGGTTCTCAATAAATAACAGTGGCTAATGGTCACTGAGTGGTCATGTGACCATCATGTGACCATGTGCTGGGTGCCGTTTTAAGAGTTTAATAGGTGCTGTCTCCCTGGATTCCCACAGTCCAAGTGTTATTAGTCTCCTTTTTATAGGACAGAAGGCATGTCCAGGATCAGTAACCTCCCCAAGGCTGATGAGCCGGTTGCTTTTCCATTCGTTACTGGTATCTAAAACAGCCTTGGCACTCCATGCGGCTGCCCTTAATACTGCCAGCCCTTAGTTAGGTGAGGGGTCAGTTCCTGCGACAGGTGTAGAGGGCTGTCCCCCAGCCTCCCCCCACATACACCCCCCACACACACACTGAAACACGCATGCGCCTCCGGACCACAGAAGATGCCCACGCAGATGCTGAGTGCCGGGCCCCCACCCATCTGATGGGGTCCAAGAGATGATCCAAGAAAAACACAGGAGCCCATCCACATCCAGTGCCCACGACGCGTCCACACTGCTGATACGAACGCATCCTAGAACTCCCCATAGAATTCATCGAACTGAGTCCCCAGTATCCACTCCTGCTCTGTACTGCGTCCCCAAGTGCACAGAAAATGGAAAGATACCGATTGATGTTTCACTATCGAGTCCAAACTCAAATCCGTAGTTAAGTGCCTAACGTGCACCAGCCACCACAAAAGGAATTTTGGCATTTAATCCTCGCAGTACTGATCTGAAGTAGTTATTCCAAATCCCATCTTATAGACGAGAAAGAGAGTCTGAGAGAGGTTCCATTTGCGGTCAGTCACAGAGCCGGTCACTGGTGACAGCTGGATTTGGATTCAGTCTCACCTCAAGTCGAGTGCCATTTCTGGGCTCTAGGTGACCCCAACTTTCTGTTATGTCGGCATAGTCATATGGATTTCGTTTTCTGTTCCTGGGAGTATCCATTTGGCTCGTGTCAAGACTGCCATGAAGAAGGAGCATGTGCAGGGCCCCCCGAGAAGAACGTCCACATCCATGACACAGCCTGACAGCGGCAGGTCCTGGAGCGTGGCCCTGGAGCGTGGCCCTGGACCAGCATCCATCAGCACCACCTGGGAACTCTGTAGAAATGCAGATCCTCAGGCCCTGACCTCCGGAATCAGAAGCTCAGGAGTGGGAGCCCAGGCCTCTGTGTTTCAACAAGCCCTCCTGGTGAACCTGGTGCCCATTCAAGTTTGAGAACCTTGACTTTATCATCGTTACCTGGAGTGCAGCTTCGGAGCAAGAATAGGAGGCCTCTGGGCCCAGCACTTATTCTTCCCTACCCACTACCTCCAGGAAATGGGAAGAAGAGAAGAAGATGCAAGAAGGGGGCTGGGAGGGTAGGAGGAAGGTGGGAGAGTTCAGTGCACTAGGGACATGGAAATTCAGAGATGAAGATACAGCACTTGCCATCTAGATGCTCAGTCTCTGATGGGGGGAAAGTAAAGGCTGGTATTACAGATCACAGGACACTGTACCATGTGCAGTGATAGAAACAGACGCAGGCCCTGGGGGACCTCCAGGGGACACTGGGGGTGACACTAACGGTCAGGGAGACTAAGGGCTTGCCTACAAGTTTCCCAGCCATGCCTTCACACTCCACAAGTGAAGACCCTTCCCATTCCCGACGACAGCACTCTAGTTAACACTGGCTCATGCGTCCCACACTCCAATGCTCCCAATCCCCTCTCCTCATTGACTATCCATTTGTTCCCTTTTGCCAGGAATATATGCCGCAATAGTTAATTCCCCAGAGGCTGGGGGAGGGGAGGGCAAGGTACAGGTGGCTGTAATTCCTCAGGGCCCAGAAGAGCCAGTCCTTTTCCTTCAGATGCAGCAGCCCTGTTCCTATGCTAGGAGGCCCCCTGTAGGACACTCACAGCAGGCAGCCCTCCCCCAGGAGACAGACCCGGTGTCAGGGCTGCCCCCTGCTTGTTGCTCTTGACCTCTCTGCTTTCCCCTACACCCCTGCGGCGACCCTGAGCAACCATGGCACTGACAGATCCCTAAGAATACCACTCCCTCTGGCCCTCCTCGCTGGGCAGAAAGGGGGGTATCTTTCTAAAACGTGGCCGGCTGGGAGCTTTACGGAGGGCCCAAAGTGCTTTCACAGAGGGAGTATGGACTACTGTGTGGTGCCCGGTCCTTGGGAGCTCCCCAAGGTAGATGCTCAGGAAGCATTGCTGAAGGGACGGGAGGAAGAAGGGCTGGTAGGACCCACCAGGAGGCCATTGGATTGTACGATGCCCAGGGCCTGGCATGTACTAGATACTTGAACAGGTGGTAGAAGGAGCTTTTACCAGAAGGAAAGGATTGAGGGACACAGAGAGAAGATAGAACAAGTCAGGGAGGGCAGGGGAAAGAGTCGCGGCCGTGGACTTAGGAGCCATCCACCAGCTGGAGGGGCGCCAGAGCTAAACTGGGCACACAGGGCCCACCAGGCAGCCACAGCCGTGGTTCTCTGCAGTGTAACCTATCCAAATGCCAGATATGGTTGTTTTCACCCTTCAGTATTTGTCAGGGACATGGATAGCCCACACAAGAGGGATCATGCGTTCTGTCCTTGTCAAGGAAAGAAAAAAACACAAGTTTTAACAATGAGATTTAAATTGGAAATTCATAACTCCACACTCCCTTTGGACTCTCCTACTGTGTTAGGAGAGCAAACAGTAGGGGGAGGCTCACAGGCCTCAGAGGGATCCTGAGGGGGTGAGGGGGCAGGGCCCCCCGAGCCTGAAAGGTCCTGGGAGGTGTGAGCATTCACACTTCCAGACTTTTCCCTAGGATCCTTTCAGGGACTGGCCTAGCCTGAATATGTGTTTTGTTTTGTAAAAAATAAGATAGAAAAGAGGAGGATTCTTGAAACTAATCAAGGATTCCTTTAACCAAGAATGAGTCCATTCTTTCACTAATTAAATATGAGCATTGACTTGAGTCGACCTTGGTGTGAGTTTCATCTACTGCAAAGTAATGTGGGTGTTGGCCGTGGTTCTCCAGTCTGGGATCCGTAACGAAAACGAAAGCCTGTTCTAGAGGGGTTTATGTGGGACGCGTGGAGCAGGTTCGTCCTGTGTCGTGGACTCTCTGCCAGCCCTTGCCAGGGCAGGTGGGTCCACATAGAGACCCAGACATGGCTGACCATGCATCTCTAAGCTGCCCTACTCTTGTGACGCCCTCTAGTCTCTGCTTGCCTGTGCACCTGTACCCTGCATTCATTCCCTCGTTGGCGCTCTCACTCATGCTTGCTTGGCCACACATTTGTGAGTACATGATATGTTCCAGGCATGTTCTGTATTCAGAGCCTGGTCTCCCTTTTAGGGACTGGGGCCCTGAGGAAGGGAGTTTGAGAAATCGAGCTGTACTCTGTTCTGTTTATAGGGGTGTGAGTTCCACTGGAGAAGCACCACATGAGCAGAGAAGGGCTCTGACGGCCACACGGGAAGCTGGGAAAATGCCCGCTGTCGAGGCTGGTACTCAGTCTCACTGAGACTGCGGCACACCCGCATGGCCTTTCTGTGATGCAGCTCTGAGCAGGCTTTACCCAGCATCTCACCCAATTCCACCTGCCTCCAGGACCACGCGGGCCTTCTAGTGCTCCACTGCTGGTTCCTTACTCTCTGGGCATGAGCACACCATGCCTTTCCACACTCAGCTCACACAGCACCCTCATGCCAACCTGTACCTCCCTCCAGTGCTGGAGAGGAAGGAGGGTGTACCCCACCCACAGACTGGCTGTACCCTCGGGGGAGGGGTAACCTGGGCCTCAGCCAACCAGCCCCAAAATGAAAGGACCAGTTCTGGTAGTTAGCCCTAACACTGAGATCAAGATTCCTGTCCACCAGGAGTTGCCAGGAGATTTGCTGAAATGATTTACATAAGGCTTGCCCTTTACCAGCACGGTGCAGGCATCCAGAGGGAGGAAGGCAATGAATTTAGAACTTCAGAGTCACCTTCATTGCTCTTTAGACTATATTAAAAGTGAGTTTAGCAACTCTTCTCAGTTGTCTGACAAAAATTAGAATTTTAGTCTAAAGAACTCTCTTAATGTCCAAGATGGTGCTTAAGGTAAGACGTGGCGCTGAACCAGTTAATCTTAGAGGCTTGGGACAGGGAGTGGGCTGGCAGGTGAAATCACACTGACCGTCTCCGAGGGGGCTTGTTGTGCATTCTGCTCCAGCAATGGGTGCCTGGGGAGACCCAGAGGGGACCACACATGTCACACTCGAAGGGGCGATGAGGAATTATCTCCTCACCAGGAACTTGACCCTGGAGACAGGACCCAATGTCATCTCTATGGGACAGGAAAAACACACCATTCAAACTTTGTTCCCATGGATAAGCAAGACGCAAGTGCAACCCGTCTATCCAATCAGATCCGGTTCTCCCAGGAGGCAAGGGGGAAAGGAGGGATGGGTTTAATTTAGTGCCCTTTCCAGGTTAAAAATTATTAAGCCTATTAAATTATTAAGAAGTATTAAAAATTAAAAATAATTCAGAGATTGAAATTCTTTATTTGTAATAAGGCTTAAATATTGAAAACCACAAACCACCGGAGGTCAGTCTTGTTCGTCTCATATTCTGTAAACCCCACCACCACCATGTGGACGCCTGCCTGCACAAGCCAGAGGTGCAGAGGAAGGCCTGCTGTCCAGAGGCTCAGAGGTGGAAGGAGCGCGGAGTGGGAAAAGCAGAGGGGTGGCTGCCGAGCCATCCCCCTGTCCAGGCGTGGCCCGTCCACAGGTAGCCATGTTACGGATGCCGTTGATGCAAAGGAGCCAAGGAGCATCCTTGTAATTCCCTGGCAAGAGGCAGCTTGCTAACGAACATGTGGAGCTTTCTTGAGCGTAAAGGTAGCCTGTCAACAGGTAGCGTAAAGGTAGCCTGTCAGGTAGCCTGTCAGCTGCCAGTCTGCACTCCAACCAGACATAACTGTGGAGTGCAGGTCCCCTTTGGGGTCCCTCCTTCCCAGGCCCTCTGAGGCCGGTTCCAGGCTTCCTCCTCTCCCTCTCCCCTTTCCGGGCTCAGCTGGAATAATAACACTGCTCCCGGCTCTGCTGATGCTTCCTTTGCTAATTCATTTGGCTTGCACTGACGCACAGAGGACCCTGGGGCACAGAATCCCAGAGGATATGACATATGAATGAGCACCATCCCTTGGGGACCCCGCTGAGAGGGAGAATGGATCAAAGAAGCCTGGACAATCAGGAGGAAGCTCCCAGGCACGGAGTACTGGGTGGTCTACTGGCTGCTGTAGGCTTGGAAATAATAAGAGTAGTGGGACAGCTCTTGGCTCCACTGATTGCTTGCTGGGCCACTTCACTTAACCTCTTCCGAACTTGAGCTGCACCTGCAAAGTGGGGAAAGCCAACCAGCCGGAGCTGAGCCTCGCTCAGTGCCATACAAGCTCCACTCTTCATAGGTGTCAGAAGACTCCTAGGTCTGCCTTTGAGGGTCCAAAACTTGAAACAACAAATTGGACAACATTGCCTCTGACGTGCTTTTCAGCATTATCAGTCTTTGATTCCAAACACCAGGTGAAGCCAAGGTCAGAAGGACAGAATCCTAACTTAAAAGTCCAAGCTCTTGCTAGGCTCCCCAACGAGACTGGCATCCTCTTCCTCACCCCCAGGCCCAGGATGCTGTCTGTGCTGGGTGTAATGCCTCCGGGATAGCTCCTGGCTTGCCACACTCCCATCAGGCTCGCTGTGCACAGTCGCGAAAGTGTATCATTTACATTCCCCATGTCATGAGTGGCAGGTCTGGGGAACCTTCGGAGGCCTTGATCTAAGACGAAGATGTCAAGGAAGAGCCTATGCATTCAAAGTGTCAAGAGAAAGCTCCGCGGCCCTAGATAAGTGATCTGCCCCTTCCTGGCTGGTTTGCTGTTAATTTCTGCAGACTGTCGGGCAGCTTGAAAGGATGCCAAGGGCTAACCACAAGGGCTCCGAGACCACAGCTGCACACTGCCTTTGGGCTCGCCACCATCTTGGGGCCAGGGTCAGGGAGACGGCAAGGACAGGGGGATCCAACAGGCTGGTGTCAGGCCCCTAGCTCTCTGTGGGACTGGGCAAGTTGGGGAGCTCTCTGAACCTCCCATTTCCTCATCTGTAAACTCAGGACAGCGTTAGTCACCCCACAGGGCCACTGCAAGTATTAAAACGGCAGAGGACAAAGGGCAAGCAGGAAGCCAGACTCAAGGGCGGAGGGCTGTGGTCTCCTGGTTACTCTTGTCTCCCAGCTTAACTATTCAGCGCCCGATGTCCCAGCCACCAGCCAGGCCTCATAAATATTTACACCTGGTGTGTGTTGCGATGCTCAGTTAATTGCCCCTGTGACGTACTTTGAGAGCCTCAGAGGATAGGTGCTGCGTGGGGCCCAGGATTATTAAAGGCACAAACAAGTTGGCTCAGAAGCAGCACCCTCCAGAGCCTTCTGTAGCCCCAGGGTTTTTCAGATCTTTGCCTGAAATCTAACCAAAAGGTGTTTCCAAAGGCACACTGTCCAATGTGAATGTGGCGGCCAAGCAAAGACCCTACTAGAAAATGGACAAGCACACGTACAGGTAACTCACAGAGGAAAAAATCCACTAAAACCACTTGGAAGATAATAACAATAATTCAGTCTCACTAGGCATCTAGGAAGTAAAACAGGTAAAATAAGGAATCAGGTGCCAAGTAGGCAGGATCATTTCAAAGGATGGATTTAAGGGTGGTGAGACCCAGCGAGACGGTCTCTTCCAGCCCTGTGAATTAGCATCTCCATTGATCCAACCCACATGGAGAGCAACTGAGTGATCTACAGACAGGGGCATGGATGGCCCCCATTGCCTGACCTCTTCACTGCACTTGGTGGAGTCTCTCCATGGAAATATTTCAGGGATTAGATGAGAAATGCAAGCATGGGTATTCCCTGCAAGATCATTCACCGTAATAAAAACTAGGAAGAACCTAAACGTCCCCTCCAAAAATCACCAAGTAAATATCACCGAATAAAAATAAAATCACCAAATAAATATCACCAAATAAATATCCAAATAAATATCATGTCTTGGAAAAACAGCTAAAGATAGATAATGCATTTTTAACATCAGCAGCCCATACATTCCTGTGCTACTTTTATACACCTGTATGTTTACACACACATACCCTTATTAACACGTGTGCATAGGTATAGCAGACTTGCCAAAATATTACCTGGGACGCTGTTGTTTTCTTCTCTGTGCATTTTTCTATTTTCTGGATTCTCTATAACAAGATGTTGTTTTGGATCTAGAACAATAAGAAAATGAGGAAATCGTTCGTAGGTTGATCTGGGAAATGTCTGTGGTGGCTGCCACTCCTCTGGGGAAGGTGTGTGGCCCACATGCCGCTAACACTGATCTTGGTTCTCTTTCCTGCCCTAGGTCATGGCCTCGAATGCACAATGCCACCGGTGAGTCAGGGGCCCTCTGTCGCCTAAGCAGTGGGAATGTCAGCATGGCTCTGTTACTCTTCCTTCCATTCTTTTCTGCTTTTCTTTCAATGAAACTATTGGCCTGTTCCAACTGGCATTAGCCACTGACGGTCTCTCCCTCTGGTTGCTCCTGGAGTGCAGCCTGGCCTGTGACTTCCATGAGCTTTGGAAGCTGGAAGGCTGACGGGGAACACTGGCTCCCCACTTTTAAGCTGTGAAGCATAGGTCCCTTTGGGCTCAAGTTCCTTCATCTGGAAAATGGGTGAAAGTCTGCCTAAACATCAGGATTGTGGCCATTCCTTAGCGCTCGTACAACTGAATTCTATATAATGGCTTCCCCCTGAAAATATGTGTTGCGCAGATGATTGATTCATTTTATGCTTCTCTTGCATCTCTTTGCAGAGCCTAGTTCTGAATCCCATTAAAGTTTGAGTAAAAGTACATACTATTCATCTTGGAACACTACTGTTTCAGGAAAAGTCCAATAGAACGTCCCTAGAAAGCTGGTGGCCACAAATGATGGCTGCAAAGAGACAGAATAAAGTGAGAAATAGACAAGTATGCAAAGAAGGGACAAAATCATAGGAAGTGATGCAACCTGCTAATGAGCTCCAAGGTTCATACGGTGCATGCTAGAGCATGTCCAAAAGAGCCACGAGGAGGGGAGAAAAGCAAAGTCCGAACTGCAAGTATGAATATAGATAAGAAACAAGCACCCAGCTCTAATCTCTCTTACAGAAAATGCTTTTAGTAAGCTTCCCAGTCCTTTGCTAACAAAGGTTGCTTTCTCTCAAGGTAGATGCTTCCAAACTGTACCAGAGTCTTTGATCCCAAATACACCTCCCTCCATCAGCTCGCTACTTCTCACCCCTTCCCACCACCCACTTAGAGTCCTGGGGGTACTCTAGACCCTTCCAAAGGGGATGGTCCCTGCAAAGGAAATTGCCAATCTGACGCAGGGGCTGGTGAGTTATAAACCACATGACCCATACCCCTCCCCCTTCACTCCCTCTCCATGTTCCTGAAGACAGAGAAAAACTGACAGGTGGGTATTCCATTTAATTAACAACATTCAAGAGACAGAAGCTGGGGTGGGGGGGGGTGGAGGTGGACAAAAACAAATCAAAATCCCAAGAAAACTGATTGAGATAAAGCTGCCCAGGCTTGCCCATACCCACTGGAATCTATATTCTGCTAAAAATATTAACAGCAAATCACACCACCCCAGTCTATTTACCTTTATGAACCAGGACAGATACCTATTAAAATATAACAGAACTGATATAATTAAGGATACTTGGGATTCACATAGCAGGGTGTTTGCCACGATATTTATAACATTTCTAGATATTTTTAAGTTGCTTGCGATTTTTTACCATGGGATTAATTGAACATATGGTGGGGCTCCAGCAGGAGGGAATACTATATGGCCATTAAAAAGATGAAACTGAAGCATATCTAGTGACATGGATATGTTCTAGTCTGCTATTCTATGACAGAGCAGGCAAGAACACAGTGTGCTCAGGCCTACAGAGGTTTTATCATGTGTGCACTAGTGTGTGTGAGTGATCAGGCTACAATCAAATATTTTTAGTGGGTGTCTTGGTAGGGGGACTTTATAGTAATTTTTACCTCCTTCTTTTTCCTCAGCTGTATCTTATAATTTTCTACAGTAGCATATATTTTATATGTTAAACATTATATATATATATAATACATATTACATAACATATATAAATTCATAACATATACTATATATATATATTCATTCCAGGCCTGGAAAAGACAAACACCAAACACATGTCCAGACTTGGACAATCTGTCAATACCAATACCTCCTGTGAGGCTGATTTACAGAGAATAGGGCCATGTTTTTCCATAAAAATAAACTCAGGAGTGTCTCTCCTTCCACTGATTAAAGAAGGAAATGAAAGAAGATAGCCCTATTTAGAAAGTGGTCCTTCTCTCTTAAGACACCGTATACAATAAAAACCCTGATAAAGATATATGTTGGTTATTTCAATTAAATAGACAAGAAATTTCATTTTGTCCAGGAGCACTTGTTTTATTTTTGTTTTTTTGGGGTTTTTTTGTTTGTTTGTTTCCCAAGGAAAGCAGTCTTGAAAGTTGGTTTTTCCCACTTTCAAAAGAAAAATTAATAAGGATTTTAGGAGTAGGTGGAGGAAAGGCAGGAACGGGATACATGCGCATCCAATGCCCCCTGCTGGCCCTTTATAGACATTGCAACATTTGTATTAATTTCGCCGAGGCCGGTTTTCCCGCAAGATGTGGGCAAAATCAGTAGACAGAAACAATGTGAAAAGTTGGTGGTTGAATTGCTGGGAAAAGGTGTTCCCCCAGTTCGCATAAGCCCAAGCCAGGATTTCAAATCGCCCATGATTGGTAAACCCAGCGATTCAGAGCTGTCTTTAAAATGTGTTGTGTCAGAATCACAGTAGTCACAAGTGCGTATTCTCAAGCCCACTCCAAGGTCTGTGCTTTCACGGGTCTGTCGTGAGACTAGCAAGTCCTTGCCTTCCCGGGATAATTCCACCCCTTGGGGTGCTAGGGCTGTCTTTGGAAAATCACTGGTTGAAGCAACAATAAATAAAAAGGAAGCCATGAAGACTGTCTTCACTAGGAAGTTGCTTGCAATTCCCTGGATGACGACTATCTCAGAATATTTTATTTGAATTTCAACAGAAACCGTGCAGTTCCTAAAAGACAACCACTGGTGAAGGCAGCACAGGGAAAGAAAAGAACCTGGAGCCCTAGGTCTGGAGCCCAGACTTTGAAAACTGGTTCTCCCATGACATCAGCGAGACCTAGGAACTGTGAATGAGAGAAAATGGAAACTAACAACATAATGAGTCCCTAGTTTGTGCCAAGCATTTGATAGATGTCTCTAATTTAGCTGTCAGATGCTGATAATACTCACAGTGTAGATTAGGTAAACCGAGCCCAAGAGAAGTTAGATTACCCCCAGGGAATAAGTCAGCAGAGTAGAACTCAGATCTGCCACAGTACTCTTGTCCCTGCTGGGGGCGAGCAGTGTTTTCATCTTTCAGCTGAGGCTGTCAACCAGCCGTGTCACTGAATCCCTGAGCCTCACAGCTAGACGGGTTGTGCTCAACGAACCACTGGGGAGAATGGACAGAGCCACACCAACAGAGTTGAGTGTTGAAAAACGCACTGCTTTTTTTTTTTTTTTCCTTAAATGAGAACTCAGTAAAAAACAAGTTCCTAATACGGATCTGAAGGCAGAGGACTCACAATCTGGATTGAATGGAAAAGATTTGGTCATGACGTTGAACTTGAAATGTGAAACACAGCCATTCATTGGGGGGGACACACTGCCAGGCGGTTATTTCTTTAAATTTCTCAACTGCTATTTGGGGGAGACACTACTTTTCTCGTTCTGCAAGCTGATATTCATTAACTGAGGCTTACGCACTTACTTGAGGTCACGTGGCCAGAAACAGCCAGGTTTTGAACCTAGAATTTCTAACTTCTCCTTCAGCGTCCATGAAATATGTGTTCATGACTTTTCTTCAGAAGCTCTGCCACCTTTTCGGTGAATTCCAAAGCTGACCTCCTCAAGGAGATTAAACAGTAAAGGCTGAAACACATGTTCAGAAAGAAATCACAAGGGCTTAAACGTGACTTGTTTTCTTCTATGTAAGTCAAGTCCAGAGGTAAGCCCTCCAAAGCTGTTTGGCAGCTCTGCTCCCCAGGTCCTCAGAGCTGCTGCTCTCTCCCTTGCATTAGCTTCAATCCCACTGCCTAAAATAGTGATAGCTGTGCTCTAGGCAGCAGGCGGGTGGAAGGGAGGAAAAAGAAGAAATCAACAGTGCACAACAATTTCTCTTCTGAAAGTTTCCTGAAAACTGAATTGATTTTCCACCTCTTCCATTTACCAAAACTTAGACTCATGGGCACATAGGACTTTGAGGAAGACCGGGTTGTAGCAAGTACTTGGTCCAGGTGCCCATGTAAGCAGCTGATGGTCGGGGCTTCCAGGACGGATGGGGGAAGTGGACATTGAGAGACATACAGCCTTCTCCTCTACAGAGTTCTAGTGATGGGGCCTTGGGACCCTCTGGCCTCTCCCTTATCACCAGGTATTGCTGAGTAAGACCAGCTGGCTCACCAGAGCCAATGCTCACCTTCGCCATACCTCTCCCCACCTCCCCCCGCCCCGCACCCCCAAAATCTTGTGACTGCATTGAAAACAGAAGCTGGGTCTGCTTAGGGAACCTGACTGGTTTGGGAATGCCATCATCCGAAAAGCCCGCTGACTCCACTTCCCAGAGAAAGAGGAACTTCTAAAGCACTCCAGGCTCCCTATTTTCACTTCCCTTCTTGCACCAGAGAACAAGACTCTCTTAATGGGACCTGCTGGGAACTGTTTCAGCCAGTGATTTCCTTTAAATGCAACCATCCCATGAAGCCAGCCCTTGGGGACACAGCCAGCACACGGTGCCAGTAGAGGCACTAAAATGCACCAGCCTCGGGCTTCCAAAGTCTTCCGTTCAAGGATGTGTTTACAAGCGCTGATAGTCCGAGCTTCTCTCTAACTTTATCTAACATGGCCCATTCCCTCATGGAAGGGAGTCAGAGCTTCTAAGTCAGCAGTCCGCAGACATCAGTGTGAGTAGACGTCACCACAGAAGCTTGTGAAGAAACTAACTGGTTTGCACTGTGAGCCTGGTTTTGCTTTCTTTCCTTACTTTTTTGTTTTTGGTTTTTGATTTTGTTTTTTTGAAATGGAAAACAAAAAAAGTACGTTAATCAGGAAGAGCTAACATCCATAAGGCATAAACTACATATGTTGGTAGTTTAATAAGATAAAGATTTACTTCTTGTTCACATAACAATCCAATGTGGATCGAAGGAAGTCTTTTCCCCAAATGCTCATTTGGGATTCACTCTCCTTTTACGCACTGGCTTCCATTATCCCTGAAGACCTCAGGGTCTTCTCTCTCTAGATGGGTGTCAAGAGGGTCACGAGAAGGAGAGTGTCAAGTGGGTCATCCAGAAGGGACGCACATGCACCCACCTTGTCCTGGCGGCTAGAGCACCATGCCATGGCCATGTGGCACAAGGGACACTGGGAAATGTGTGCCAGCCAAGGGCCCACAGGGAGAGGAAATGGGGCTCAGTGCATCTCCTTGCAGTATCTTCAAAGCCGTTCGAGGCACTTGAGGTATTGAGACCCAGGACTGGAGAGGTGCTCCTTCACTTTTACCTAAGACTGGTAGTCAGGGAGGCTCCCTCCAGGCACAGTGTGTGCAAGTCTCTGGGGTGGAAGGAGCTTGGCATACTGGGGAGACTCGAAAAGAAGCTGGGGTAGCTAGTTTCAGAGGAGATGAAGAAACTGGAAAGACGTGCGATCAGAGAGGGGCCAGGAACCAGACCGTGCTGGAGGCTGGGAGCCACGGCAGAGAATCCAGATTCCACGGGGCGTGCCATGGGCCACAAGTGACATGAACCAAATCACAGTTTTAAAAATATGCTTTTAAAATTACATTCCAAACCTGCATCGTTAGGAACATAGGGACTGCAGCAGATAAAGACAACCCCTTCTCTAAAGAACGGCTAAGGACAGGGGCGCCTGTGTGGCTCAGTCAGTTAAACGTCCCCCTCTTGATTTGGGCTCAGGACATGAGCTCTGTGTCAGACTCCATGTTCAGGGCAGAGTCTGCTTGAGATCCTCTCCCTCTCCCTCCGCTCCTTCCCTGGCTCACGTGCTCTCTAAATAAATAAAGAAATAAAATCTTTTAAAGCGGGGGCTGGGTACATACCCATCAAAGAAGTTATCAAAGGCTGCCTATTTTTATGTAGGTGTCCCAGTGAGTGAGACAGAAAGTAACTGTCCTGACAATTCCGTGACATTAAGGTCACCTAGAGTGGTCAGAGAGGAGAGCCCCAGGAGGATCTCAAAGGGCACCAAGCATTATGGAAAGCAACACAGAGGAGGTGGGAATTCCAGCTGGACTCAACTCAAGCAAAGACTCAGAAGTGGCATGAAACCTATGTGGAGGATCCCAGAGAGTCTTGGGCTGCAGGCTCGTGAAGAAGGAGACCCCACAGCTCTCCGTGTTGGAATAATGACCCCATCTGATGAGAACAGTTTCCTAAGATGAGGTCGTATCGAATTCCGAATCACACAGTGGAGATGCTTCCCTCGGTCCTGTGGGCCAGAGTAGATCCTCAAAATTTCAGTGCTCATTTGCCTCTTTTTGCCAGGCCGGTTGGTCCTTATGGGTGACCTTATTAATGTAACTCAATTCATGAGAGGGTGCTTGTTGCTACTGTGAAGGGCCGGAAAACCTGTGGGTTTCTCCACCAGGGCTGTAAGTAGGGGTATGATTGTGCTGGGACGGGAAGGTGTCCTCAGTTCCCTAGGACAGCGGTAGCGGCAAGTCCTACCACCGAGATGGGCTGGGACTGGGCGGCAGGTGCAGACAGACTTCTGCTCTTGCCTGCTCATTATCTCAAGGAAATTAGCTTTGGCTAGTTAACACGCCCCTGATGCACTGGTCCTAAGCAAATTCCAGAGAGCTGTGTTTCCACCGAGCCAAACTTTCATTAATTTACACATTACAGTCTACACAAGGCTTGGGCATGCTGACACAAATCCCCAGCTATTAATTGCATATTTTGGTATGGTAAAAGAATTCTGGGTAGAAGGGCAAAAGTCTAAGAACGTGATGAAGCCAGAACTAGACGCAGAAATACGAATCATCCTGTGGTCCTCTACGTGACTTGGACACAGGCCAGAAATTTGCCCTGAGATTCTGAACAGCCAAAGGAGGAAGGAAAATAGGATCTCTTATAAAATCAGTGTTTTCCATTAAATCAAAGCAAACCAATTGCCGAGAAGCACACAGTTCCCGAGACCCACTAGAAACTTCTCACACGTGTGCTAATAAAGAGGATGTGATAAGAACATTTTCTGCTTATAATGTTCCTGCATGCAGACTAACAGCATGACACTATAATGCAATTTAGGAAAATTAAGTCTAGAGGAAGCAAAAAACCCTGCAGATCATGTGAGCAGTTCAGCGGTTCTGCATCATCTGAGGGTAGTTTAAAGTAGGGCATCGACCGAGTGCACTAGACGACCTCCAGGAAATCTTCCATAAAACAAGTCCCAGTGAGGGGGTCAAGCATTGACAGACCTCACATGAACAACACTCACTCAACAAACACCTGTCAAGAACTCATTTGTTCACGGGGCAACTGAGTAAGGCTCCGTGGGTTAAGTGTCTCACTCTGGATTTCAGCTGGGGTACTGATCTCTGGGTCATGAGATCAGCTGAACATCGGGCTCCGCACTCCATGGAGTCTACTTGCCTCTCTCTCTGTCCCTCAGCTCCCCTCCTGATCTCTCTCTCTCTCTCAAATAAATCAATGAAATCTTTTTTTAAAAAAAGAACTCATTTGTTCAATGTTGGAGTTAGGGACAGATGAGTGAGTAGACCTGTACCCCTGCCCTTGAAATACTTCCAGTCTGTTCCAGGAGACGGACATACAGCCGATTACAGCAAAATGCAGTGCTGTGCCAGAGGGTGGGGGAGGGGCAAGTAAACCTCCTCATGGGCGCAGATGCCCAGGGAGTCATGACTGGGTGCATCTGATGGAGAGAAGGCAGGGGTCCTTCTAACCTGATATTGACCTTCCATAGAAGGAGCGAGCCTTTCTAGTTTGGATACGATTGTCTAGGCTCCTTTTTCATCGCCCTTGCTTTGCAAGAACAGCAGATAGAAGGAAAAGTATGCTATGCGAAATAAGTCAATCAGATCTCACTGATCTCACTGATCTCACTGATATGAGGATTTTGAGAGGCAGGGTGAGGGGCCATAGGGGGTAGGGAGGGAAAAAATGAAACAAGATGAGACCGGGGAGGGAGACAAGCCATAAGAGACTCTTAATCTCAGGAAACAAACTGAGGGTTCCTCTGGGGTGTGGGGGAGGGATAGGGTGGCTGGGTGATGGACATTGGGGAGGGTATGTGCTATGGTGAGTGCTGTGAATTGTGTAAGACTGATGATTCACAGACCTGTACCCCTGGGGCAAATAATACATTACATGTTAATAAAAAAAATAATAATAATAATAAAAAAAGAAGGGAAAGTACAGACATACATACTGCATTTTAGGCGATCGCCTTCAAGAGAAATAAATGGCAATGAACACAAAACTTCCAGAGAAACACAAGGGTCACTCTTTTCAAAGTGTTTTCATTTTTTTTTTTTTAAGATTTATTATTTTAGAGAGAGAGAGCCTGAGCCAGAGGGGCAGAGGGAGAGGGAGAGAAAATCCCAAACAGACCCTGCACAGAACACAGGACTCAATCCCACGACCTCTGAGATCACGACCCTAGTGGAAACCAAGAGGCAGTCACCTAACCATCTGTGCCACCCAGGCACCCCCGCTCTCCTCAATGTTTTGCAGTAACACTTGGTCCACTTCTGTTCGCAGGCCAGTACCGGGCTGTCGACGAGCCTCTTCTGGAACAGGTAAGTCAGCTTTCCCGACTTGTCAGTCTTTGACATTTACAAAGCCAGTGGTTCTTTTCAAGGTACTTGGGTGAATTTAAAGAAATTTAAACTTAAAGAAACAAAATTTAGAAAAGAAACAAAAACACCAACAAACTTTTCCAAATAGCCTGATTTCCTAGCAGAGACACCTGCACTTCGGTTCTTGTGTAGAACCTGTCTTCCCACAATACACACTGTAAATCAAACCATTGCGCTGTATACCTTAAACTTACGTAGTGATGTATCTCAATTATTTCTCAATTAAACTGGAAAAAATAAATAAGTGGATAATAAGGCATTAATAGACAGAGAGACAAAAAAAAAGAAGAAAGAAAACTGTCTTCCAATTACTCAGCTATGAAATGCAGATAAAAATTAACTCACATGGTCACTGCAAAGATGAAATAAGATGAAAATACCACCACATGGTGCTGGCAAGGGGGAGACGAGAGAAGCACTTCCTAAGGCTCATGGTGAAATCTTAAATTGGAACTCACTTTCTGGAAAGCCATTTCATAATAACCAATCAACATAAAAATGTCCACTTTCCTTAGCCCAATAATCCTATGGCTGGAATTTAAACTAAGAAACTAATCTGAAATTTGGATTAATATGTCAACATACTCATTTGTATTTTATAATAATATGGTTAAAGAGAAACACTGGAATCATCCTAGATATTCAATAACAGAAAAAAAATTGACTAGATTATGATGTATTCATATGATGAAGCCATTAAGAGTATTGACAAGAATTTTAATGACTGAAGAAAATTTGAAATTTATAACATGAACTCAGCTACCTAATGTTATATTAGTTTATTGTTAAATTGTACATCATTTAAATAGTTTTAACTGGCATATCTATAGATAATATTGGGAACAAGTAGATAGATGAGAGGGAGAGAGAGAATTTGCCTTTAAAATCATTGGTTCTTCACTGTTTGAAAGCCTTCTTTAGAATCAGATTAAAGCTACAGATCCTCACCCCAGGACACACACGCATAATCAATCAAATCAACCAATCAATCCATCACAAATATTTTATAAAGTAGGAGGCTTGTGGACAGAAAAGACTGAGTTTTAGTTAAGAAAACCCCTGCTATTGATAGTAGTAGGTTGAAAATAGATTATTAAATAGATGCAAGTCATTATATTTAAAATAAAATTCTGTATCTTTCTTATTCTGGAAAGAGATAAACCAAAATATTAATATTTAGTCCTGGGGGCAAGATTCTCAGGGCCTGGTGTAGATTCTCTACAGACCTGGGGTGATGGTTGCTGTTCCCCCTTGTGTCTCTCTGTGCCCTGACACCACAAAGTCTAGCAAGGGGATTAGACTAAAGATCTCTGTCTCAGATTCTTCTAGCGGGTCCAAGATTTCCCAGAGGAACTGCACTCTGCGGAGTCTTGGTAGTTGCTGTAACAGTATGTAAATGAAGCCCTTGCAACAAAATGTCCATCTGTCAAATCCCAAAAGGAGTTGCTCCAGGTCAGAACTCACTTCTGTGTGCAGTTCTGAGGGAGAATAGCCCAGCCACCTTCCCCTCTTTGCCACGTCAATTGTGAAAACCCCTGGAGTTCCCCTCCTGGCAGGCTTGCTTTGCCCTGGGCACTCAGCTGTACCGAAACTCCGTACATTAACTAGAGAAAAAGGATCTATCATGGGCAGGTGTCATGGGCAGTGTCAAAGTAGAACCTTTATGGACATTTTACTCAATTAATCTCCAACTACAACCAAATAAAGCAGATTTAGCCATCTCTAATTTACAGATTAAGCATGTGAGTCAGAGGGGTTAAGTAACCTCCCCAAGGTCATAAAGTGGATCCAGTTTAGATCTAGGAGTAGGTGACTCCATCTTGGATCTATGCTGCCCCCAAGCAGACCGATACTGTCTGGTTTCCCACCCAAGAATTCCTGGTCCGAGCCCTGCTTTCCTCCTAAGACCAGACCAAGAAGGCAGGGTTTCATAGCTGTAACACCTGGTTGCTCGGGGCACAGTGTCCAGGCAACCATGCCAATGGCCCAACTCCAGCTTTGTTCAGTGACCTAACCTCTTTCCATTGGTCATCAAGGTCCCCCTTTCGATCCTGTTCCTACTCCTGGGTCATTTTGCTGGTCCCTGTTTTCTTAGACCTGAGCCCCTTGAATTTTATAATTGCCTGAGCCCTCAGTTCTTGAAGGACTTAAGCCTTGGTCTCCTTTAGGAGCACTTCGATAGGAATCAGGGCAGCACACTGAAAGCCAAACTCATAGTCTTCAGGGAACCCACCTCCTATACACTCTCCCATGGAGAACACTGACGTACTTTTGCATCAAATAAGCAGAGTTACTTAGAGCCCACAGAAAGCTTAAAAGGCCTTCCAGACAGGGGTTGGTGAGTCCCCACAGCACTCCTGCTCACCTGGAAATTGGGACCATCACGGACATTGTCTTTACCTGTGCCAAACTGCTTTGGCAGAGCAATGATGAAAAGAGTCGTGCTTGGAGCTGGTAAGCAACTGGCCCACATACACTAGAGAACTGGAATCCTGCAGAGCTGGAATTTAAACACAAGCCTCTAATTCCAAGCCCCTCCACTATAATAAAACAACCTCCTAGACTGCTGTGTTCATACAACGAAATAACGTACCTAAAGCATCTAGCACATGTCAAGTCCTTAACAAACATTAGAGGGGCTCTAGGGGAGGATTGGCAACCTTGCTTTATCTCTGCATTCCTTCAATTGTCATTAGCACAGCGGCAGCCACAGTAATATTTATATATGTGTATGGTATTATATACAATACCATCAGGTATTTTGCTCAAAACTTTAGATGCATTGTCTCATTTAACTTCTGGTTGCCGGTATCACTCTATAACTCTGGGTGATTGTAGTAGTGTGGGTGAATATCATCTAATTCAAAAATAAATTTGAAGTGACCTCCAATAAAGATTATCTCTAACTGGGGAAATTACAGGATCAATGAAAATTTTTAAATCATACCCATTATTACACACTAAATCGAGTTAAAATCCATTATTTTATGTACTTGCTTATTTAACAAGCACATATTAAGAATCTACTATGTGCAAAAAAAAAAAAAAACAGATATGGTGAAGGCTATAATGCAGTAACTTTGACTTTAAGCCTTCAGTCTTTGACTATAAAATAATTGGGAATCCAAAGAAAGACTTAGTGGGCTGCCCAATTCATGTAGTGTGACTAGGATAGGCTGGCAAGAAGTGAAATGCCCTCTACAGAATCAAAAAGGAACTTAAAAACTCAGGATCTGAGCCCAGGCTCACACTGTTTGCCATTGCACTCCCTGGTTAAAAGTCAAAATTATGGATGTTGCAACACAAGGAATGCCCTAGATTCTTCGCCTTTCATCTTAGGCTCAGAACAATTTTAATACCCGGCACTGGATTCTAGAGGAGGTGGATGTGGCAGAAGACCTAGGTTCTGCCTATCGATGGCACCTATGACCTCTGTGGTTTTCAGAAGTCACCATTCCCAGTTTCTATATTTGTAAAAGGAAGATGTAAATTCTTAATCCTGAAGGCCAAACTGGGGCATGTGCATGCCAATCTCTTGTAACTGGATCTGTTATTCATAGCTACGGTCATCTGGGGTCTTAGTGGGAATTTTAAGAGAGACAAGGGATCTTTCTGTATGAAAGACCATTGAGATTAGCATCTGGGCTGAAACACAGCACAATGCTGAATCCAAATCCCAACACATAGGTGCAGATTCCAGAATTTCTGTGATGGGGATTACATCTCTTGCTGGGTGGTACCCAATCCTGCCATCTCCAGTGTTCAGACTTGGATCTCATTAATGGTATATAGAAATACAACCGAAATTTGTATATTGACCATGTATCCTGACACCTTGCTGAATTGTTTATTAGTTCTTATAATTTTTTTAGTGGGTTCCTTGGAATGCTCTACATACAAGATTCCATCATCTGCAAATAGATCTCCTTTCTTCTTTGAAAGGCTCATGTGATTACACTGAACCACTCAGGTGATACAAGGATAAGGACTGACGATGAGTAATCTTAAATACCTCCTTAATGTCCCTTCATAGCAGTACCCAGATTATTATTTGATTGAATAACCAAGAATGGGAATATTTGAGGATATCTTTAAGATTCTGCCCACCACAAGAATTTAACTGCCCAGATTCTTACAGGTTTTCTTCTAAGAGAATCTATACATCACTGTAGCCCCTCACCTTTGTTATGACTGAACCTTCCCTTGACTCACTCAACCGTTTCCTCCTGCTTAGGAAAGGAACTTTGCTGTGGCAGTTCTGGATGGATCGAAAGACCACATGGATGGCGACTATGAGGACCCTGAGCTTCACATGGTAGAAGCATGGCCATCAATACAAATTTTGCCAGCCAGGCCTATAAAGGAATCAGAATATGCAGGTAACATCTGGTGTCTAAAATCTGGGAATGCACATCCATGACGCAATACTGCACGGCAGTTAAAGCCGCAGATGCCGAATTAAACAACTCCAGGCTAAAATCCTGCCTCCGTGGCTTACTTGCTGTGTGGCCTTGAGCAAACCTAAAAAATTCATTTTCTTACCTAAAAATGGTGTTCATAATAACAGAACTTACCCCCCAAGAGTTCTTTCAAGTTCTCAACAGGACACTTGGCACAGAGTCAGAACTCTGTAACTACGAGTTGTCACTATCATGATGCTCTTCCTGAGTCCAAGGAGCAACCGGAGAGCATGGCAGAGGGTGGATAGGCAGGGCTGTGGGGCAGCATGGGAACTTTAAGACAGAGTTTGCATAATGGAGAATAGCATGAAAGAGAAGACTTTTCAACTTGGCTGACTTGTTTTATAGGCAACCAGCATGTATGTAGCCCCAGGACATGGCAGCAAAGCCAAGCTTTTTAAGAGTAAGGAAGATATAATTTCACATACACCCTGCCTCTTCCCAACTGGGACACACTCAAGTTCTCTGAACTGTAGATACAGCACAGGGCTGTAAGGGAAAAGAGGAGGAAGCCCTTGTGACTTCTGAGGGTCTGACCCACAGAGACGAGTCTACAGAAGTTGTTTCAGAAAGAATCACCTTGCAAATAACGATGAAACTCCTTAGCTCATTCACTCAACAAGCAATTACTGAGTACCAGCCATGTGCAGTTACTGTGTTAGGACTGATCAAGTGACACAAAGATAAACAAAGCAGGATCTCCATTCTCGGGAAGGTCACAATCTAGGGGCAGATGCAGAAAGATCAACAGATAATTAGGATAGACTATGCTAGGTGTGTAATACAGAAAGAAGAACCACAGTGTTGGTGTTGGGGTGTTGGTGGGTGGGATCTAGAAAGATTTGCAAAGGGCGTGACAGCACAGGGCTTGAAGGGTGGGCAGGAGTTCCCAGAGACTGAGAAGAGTAAAGGATTCTCAAAGAGTAGAGGATTCTCAAAGACTCTGGAATTTACACATACAGACTGAGAGGAATACAGGTCCTACTCCTTGGGCTTCAATCTCTTAATCTGTCCAGTGAGTTTGTAGATATGCACATATTTTGTTAATTGTAATGTGCTGAGTCCACATAAGGTAAGACTTCAAATTTTTCTCTTTCCACAGATACACGCTATTTCAAGGGTATGATGGACACTCCCAATCCCTTAGACACCAAGACCTCTGTCCCCATGGAGCGCCATCCCTGGTGCACACAGATGGGGCTGGAGAAAGTGAGTAAAGGTTTGGTCATGTGACCCAAACATGGGCAGGGCAATTCCTAGCAGCCGGGAGCTTCCCCATCTCTCATTCCCAAGGCATCTTGCTAGTGATGAGCACGCTGAGTTCAGCAAGGTGTAGGGGAACTGATTTCTGTGACTGCTGAAGTCATGGTCCCAGGGAAGGAGCACCAACAAGGGAAGAGGACTAGCATTTGGGAAGGTTTTCTGTGAGGCGTTGGAGTGGGGACTCCTCACAGGCATTTCACCTGAGGCTTGCCTCCTTTTCCAGAAGCAAAATTTGACTCAGATCTTATTGATAATAACATGTCATTTTGCCCAGACTGTAGGCCCAATGCTGACAGCTGGTAACAGGGTGCTAAGAAGTAAGTCAAGCAACCTCTCTTAGTCCTTTGTAACCTCATCTGTGAAATGGGCCTAAAAATCCCTACCATGCTTTACTTTGAGAGGCTGTTTGGACCCGACATATAAGAGACTTATGAATATATCCTGTAAATGCAAATGCCATATATATATATAAAATTTTATTTTTAATAACACTTTTGCTAATGATTCATTTTCTTGATGCAGAAATACAAATGAATCACTCCTGGAGTTTCAGGGTATACCAGGCACGATGCCATGTGACATTTTGTGTCCACATTCTCTGTGCAGACCTATTTCATGCAAGAGAGTCCCAGTGTCATAGGCACCTGTTTTTTTTTTTTCTTTTCCTATTAAGTTCTGCTTATAAAATGATTTCCCATGTGATAAACAAGCATTAATAGCATAATCTTTATAGATATATCATACCTCATCATGGCATTTTTAATAATTTTACTTAACCATTGAGTAAAAACATTTTAAAAGCTTTGGTACATGTTGTAAGATTTCTTTCCTGAAAAATTTCAATTTACCCTCCCAGAAGCCTTATACGAGAATGTGCACCTCACAGGACTCTCACCAAAACTGGCTAGTGCTTTATTAATCACATTTTTAAAGGGATTTCACTGTCCTTTTATTAAATTTGTCTCATATTTATTAGTGAGCATGAACATGTTTTTAAATATTTATAGTGCATTTTTCCCTGTGCATTATTGGTTCACATTGTCTATCTATTTAACTTGAGGGCTTCTGCTAATATTGATAATCAAAGGAAACAACAAATATTACCAGGTAATGTCATTTACCCAGAACACATCCAGGAGAGTTTGGGAGAACAGGATGAGAGATGAAATATTGAACACTTCCGCTTTACACAGGCAGCAACCTAAACTTTAATCATTCATTCAACAAATTCATTCAAGAAATATGTGTTGAGTGCCTGCCACGGATCAGACACAATGATGAGCTCCCACATGCAGTGGTGAATAACCAAGGCCCTGTGCTCATGAAATTTACATACTGGTGGGAGGAGACTGGAAATAAATAAATAAACAAGCAAATAAATAAATAATAGACAATATGCTAAGTCATAAATACTTTTTAAAAATCATTAAACCAGGGTAAGGGTAGCCAAGGAAGGTCTCCCTGAGTAGAGATGGGAATGAATGAATAAATGGAAGAATGAATGACATTTAATCCTTAAAATACCCTTGCAAGATGAGAATTATAACCCCCATTTTAAGAGCTCCAACTTTTTTTTAAGATTTTACTTATTTATTTGACAGAGCAAGAGAGATGGGCGGAAACACAAGCAGGGGGAGCAGTAGGCAGTGGGAGAGGGAGAAGCAGACTCCCTGCTGGGCAAGGAACCAGACTTGGGGCTCCATCCCAGGACCTTGGAATCATGACCTGAGCAGAAGATGCTTAACTGACTGAACCATCCAGGCGCCCCAACAGCTCCAACTTTTATGAGCTCTTTGAGCCAGTTACTTACCCTCTCTGAACCTGTATTATCTTAGCTATAAAATCTCATCGTTGTTATGATAATACATACAGAGCATAGTGCTTAGCAGGAAGCAATCGGTCAATAGCAGACCTCTTCTTGAGAACAGGGACCATTTTAGCCCCAGCACTTAGCACAGTACCTTGATGTAAGAGGATCTCAGGAGATACCGGTTAAATGGAGGAAAATGAATGAACAAAGAAACTCTCAATCATTTGAACTGAACCTTGAAATATGAGCAGCTGTTTCATAGGAAAAGAAACCCAGGCTCTACTGACTTCTGTCCACATGGAACCCTTTTTCAGCCTGGTCTTCAAAGTTCTCAGGTGAACATTTGCTGCTGTCAGGAACATCTGCACTGGGGCAGCCCCACAGGGGTTGTTGGACAAGGAGGAGGACGCTTCAGGGCACTCATCACAGGAGCATAAAGCATATTCAGGGAACAGTAAGAATTGCAGAGCGACTGGACCAGTGGCTGAAGATACAAATTCTGGTCTGGTTATTAAAGAATAGAGAATATCCACCTAAATACTTGAGCTTCCCTTTCCCCCAGGATTCAGTGATTCGTTCCCCTTTATATGTAAGTAGGCCTTTGTTAGAAGAATTTTTTTAAAGATAATTCTCGTTGGAGTTTTTAAGACACTATGCCAGAATGTAAGCCTCCATTCTAATTACTTTATACTTCCTTCATAATATCCTTGTAGCTTTCTGTTACAATACAGATTTCTTCCTTTAGCTAGATCACTTTGCAAGTGGAACTATAACCTCAGCATATCAAGTCAAGTGAAATCATGTGAGAAAAAGAATATGGGAAACTCAGCACAATGTTGGCCGGGGGCAGGGTGGGGAAGTTGAATTATTAATTAAGTAAGGACTTGAGCTCAATTCAGATAAGGAGGGAGTTTTATTCTTATGATCAATACTTGAATAATCACATTTTTATGAGAAGCAAGTTCTATTTTTCATTATAGCCTCATTCTCAAGAGTTAATTCTTACTACTTCTATATCCACTGTAACCTCTGTTGAGAGTAAACCATTGATGACAGGGATCTTCAATAATCCTGACGAGAGGCCAGTTCCTACCTAGACTCCTTAGGTTGGCTACAACTGTCTTCGACCACTGAGCCTCTGCCCATCTTTTCATTTATTGCGCATTTGCTATGTACGAAGCACTGTGCTCAACAATGGGGATGAAAAAATGAGCCAATGCCCAGAGTCTAATGGAAGAGTCTAATGGAAGTGTAATGTGAAGTGCTAAGACAGAAGTGAGCATGGTTCACAGAAGCTGCATCACTTACCCCAGCTAGAGGCTTTTGAGAAGGTTTCTGGAAGAAACAGTGCAAAGCAGTCTTTGACGCATCATTGTATGGTCATCAGTGACCCTCATTAGGGACCATTTTGCCCCTAGGGGACAGCTGGCAATGTCCAAAGACAGGCTGGTTGTCAGGACCAGTTGGGGAGTGCTACTGACATCTACTGGTGAAGAACAGGGACATTGCTAAGAGTACTATAATGCTCAGGGCAGCCTCCACAGCAAGGAATTGTCCAGCCCCAACTTTCAATGGTGCTGAGGTTGAGAAATCTGTGTTATAATGTGCTATAAGGTGTTGTGAGCTCAGATCTCTGTGTCTCTGAGCCCTTTAGAATCCAAGCTCTTATTCCTCTTTTTCCCTAATATTCCAGCATTGATGCAGACTTATAGTGGGCACGGATAAATATTTATCAGACAGAAAATGGGAGGAGCCCCCTTGGGAGGGGCAGAAAATATTCTCAGCCCTGGAATCCTATACTAACACCAGCAGAGGGCACTTACTGCTTGGGAAGGTATAGGGCAAAGAAGTTCTTTCACACAAAAGGACCAAATGGATCCAAATGCCCAAAGACACCAAATTAATTTGGCTACCAAAGGGGAAAAGTGTGGGAATGCTGAGGAACCCCCATCCCTAAGATCCTAAGCACAATGGGTCCACCTGAGATAGAGACAAGAGAGAATCTCTACTGCTTCTATAATCAGGCTTGTGGTGGGAGGTGGACATAAGCCTTGAGAGACCCCATCTATAAGGCAGGCACACAGGGAAAGCTGAAAGTTGAAGGTACAACAGAACACTGAAAAACCCATCCAGCACCCCAACCTCCACAGAGTAACACTTAAGGAACTGGAAGTCGTGAAGGAGGCCATAGTGACAACAACATCCAAAGGACGCTCAACTCTTATTAGATTAATGGGCCAGCAAAAGACCCACACACCTTCCAGGCATGTACGGTGGTCCCATATTCCACAGAGGAAAAGAATGAGACAGTGAACATCATAGGGTAATAAGTAACAGGCTATTCAATGATCCTTCTCCCTCCCGCCATCCATCTTGTCTACCTCAACTTGATGCCAATGAAGAGTAATGCTACAACCTGTACTTTCAGTGTTCTCTAGAAACATAGGAGATAGATGACAGAGAGATACAGAGATACAAAGAGACACAGAGACAGAGACATAAAAGAGTGATTATGTGGGCTCCGTTCCTTGATCTACCATCTGAAAGCTGGAGCTCCAGGAAAGCCAGTGGTGTAAATTCTAGTCTGAGTCGAAAAGGCCTGAGAACCAAGAGAATCAATGATGTAAATTTCAGTCTAGGGCAGAAGACCAATATTGCAGCTCAACACTCAAGTACAGAGACAAAATTCTTCTTTCCTTTGCTTTCTTATTCTATTCATCCCCAACAGATTAACTGATGCCCACCCACACTGGGGAGGGCCATCTGCCTTACTCAGTCTGACTCAAATGCCAATCTCATCTGGAAACACCTTCACAGACACACCCAGAAGTGTTTAACCAATTATCTGGGAATTCTGTGGCCCTGTCAACTTGACACATAAAATTAACCATCATAGACCCCACTGCTGACCTAGGCTTAGAGGCTTTCAAAAACACTGGGCATCATTATGATATCTTCATTTTCTTCTCCACCCTCTTGCCTAGCAATTGTAGAGCCCCTAATGGTTGACCAGTGCCTTTAATAATATTAATAACGATAGCTAATAACTCTTAAGCTTTGTTGGTGCCATTCCCTGTTCTAGGCACCTTGCATGGTATGTCTCATGTAATCACCCCATCTTCATGATGTATCAGTACTTTTGTTACCATAATTTCACAAATGAGGAAATTGAGGCTCAGAAGGTTAAGTGACTTGCCACATTCTCAAACACAAGCATTTTTATGCCAAATACCATCCAAGGCCACTACAGTAGTCGTTGGCACAATGGTTCACACATTTACGTTTTTTTACATATGTTAACTGACTGCCAACTATACACATATGGTGAGTCTCTAAGAATGATGTGTCCAGGGACTTATGCCCTGACCCTGGGGAGTAACCCTACAGAATGGCAACACATTTGATGGTATCATAGTCACAACTGAAGAGATAACGGTGCCACATTGTCTTCCACAGGTGGGCAAACCCGTTTCCAAGGATTCCAGAAGCCAACATGTTAAAGGTAAAGTCAAGTCACAAAGTTTGAAACACAAGGATATGTCTTTGCTTCCAAGAAATCTGTTGGTGGTCACAGGTTATCTTTGTTGGTGGTCACAGGTTATCTTAATCAAGATGATGTATTGGACTGTCCTTCATGAAATAATGACTTTTGGAAAGGCTTTTACACATCTTATGCCTTTTTATCACCTTACCTTATTGATGAAGAAATTGATAGTGTAAGTTCATATTCCATGGCTATGCAATTTCAGAAAGGAACGGCTTTGAGACATATGGGTTGCATTAAATATATAACTAAGTTATTTCTCCAAGCATATCCCCAGTAAAATCACAAGATAGAAATCTAATTTTAAAATGTTGATTAATTCATATGAAAACAGATTTTGAAAGCTTTAGGCAAAGCAACTCAATTTGGAGATGAAGGTACAGGTAGGAAGCTGAAAGGAAATAATCAATTTCAGTAGTGCTGGAAGCACACATGGAGGACAGCCAAAGAAATTTAATTGGATCATACACATTATAGCTCCTCTCATCATCTCCCCTGTGCTCCATCTTCTCTCACAATGTCCAAATGGAAAAGATAGCAATGATTTACACTTCCCAGTACTTGAAACATATCAAATTTATCCTTTATGGGTCCAATGCTATATTCTATAACCTATTATTAACATCTTATTTTCTTTCATGGGAAGGTGTAACAGCTAGGGTCCTAATAGGAGACAGATGGCAAACACAAATTAGGATGACTTAAGGAAACTTATTTACAAAGGAACAATTTACTGAGGTGTGTGGGGTGTATGGCTGATGTGGGAACTAGGGCTAACAGCAGTAGCATTGTCGCCACCCCCAGCCCAAAGGAATGAGGGGACAGTTATAGAAAACCAGAAGCACACCACCTTGAGAGGAGGGACACCAGCAGCCCCACTGAGTCTCATGGAGGGGAAGCCAAAGGAACACATGCCCACCAACTTCCCTCTCTAACCCACCTCTGAATTCCTACAGGGACTTTGCAATGACTGAACCCAACCAGAAACCAGAGGGCAGGGCGGTCAATATGTGGTCCATGCTGGTTAGTCCTCAGGGGTGGAGAGTGGAGTGGAGCAGAGGCAGATGGAGATGGTACAGGATGCAGGAGCATCCAGAGGCACAGAGGAGATCTGCACAACAGGAGGAGTGGTGGAAGGAGCAACCAGAGTAGCCAAAACATAGGCTCTGCCCCTTTCCTGGCTGTGTGACCTTAAGTGAGTCACCTAACCTTTCTGGGTCTCACTTTTCTCCTCTTTGAAGTGTGAAATGGGCAGGGTTTTTATGATTACTCAATTCAGGAGCATTCACCGAGGCAGGAAATTATAGCTATTCTCAAACCTTCCTCCTCCCCCGTCTGCCTTCCTTCCATACCACCCTTAAACCTCCCCCAAAATAGGAGCTTCCAAATCGGTGCCTCTTTAGTCCTTAAAATGTCAGTACCTTCAATGTATACAGTACTTGATTCAGAGCTCTTCCCCATGAACTCATGTATTTTATGAGAACTCACATAACTCAAAGTGAATTATGTAGACCAAGTATTTTCAGACCTCTTGACAGAGAAAGGGACCTGGAGCACAGAGCGATCCCAGATGAGAGCATAATTGTTTGATACACGAATGTTCCATGTCATCCTAGAACTTTCACAGACACGTATTGAGAAATGAGTCCTGGAGAGAGAGAAGACAAAATGGACCTCACAATTCCTTCCTTTTTTATATATCACCATAGACATCCAACTTCATTTCTTTGATTGCAGAAGTTTCTTTGACCATTATTCTACATTATCGAGATGTCTGTTGGTCTATTAAGCTGTTTCTCATCCCCATTCCAATATGCATGTTGGGGGAGCACATCCCCCCACAACTCCAAGATGTCCTCAGGCACCTCAGGCAACATAGTTGTAGAGCTATATGTCTACAACTCAACCCAATCCTGATATTATCCACTCAGAGGTAGCATCAGATTACACAAGTTGAGGGCTCAGTCCACAAGCCTGTCCCCACTTCAGATGCCAGTCACAAGTCCAGATTGTCACCTGTGTTTCTGACAGATGATAGATTGGAGGTCCCAATGACACCCCTTTCTTAGGTTCCAATAATTTGCTAGAGAGGTCACAGAACTCAAAGCAAGCTATTACTCATTAGATTACAGTTTATTATGAAAGGATGTAAGTCAGAAAGAGCCAAACAGAAGAAATGCACAGGATAAGGTATGTGGGAAAGGGTGTGGCACTCCCATACTTCCTTTATCTCCAACCCAAAAGCTCTATGAACCCCAACCTTTTCGGTTTTTATGGAGACTTCATTACATTGGCATAATTGATTAAATCACTGAGCATTAGCAAATGAATTCAATCTCAAGCTTCTCTCCCCTCCCTGGGATGAGTGTGGGAGGTAGAGAAAGTTCCAATTCTCTAGTCATATGGTGGGCTCTCCCCATCCCCCCCAAAACCATTCTCAGATGCAGTCCAAAAGTCACCTCTTTAACATAAGAAGACACCTTTATAGTTTTCATCACTTAGGAAAATCCAAGTGATTTATGAACTCTGTGCCAGAATCCTGGAGATGAGGATCAAATATATATTTCTTATTATAAATCACAGTATCACAACTATCCATGCATATATTTATCTATGCTTTACCTGAACTCACAAAGCTACTGGGGTGGTTAACAAAAACTTACATAGTAAAATGGAAGAAAATAAAAATAAAGTCCTAGAGTGAATCTAGGTCGACTATAACATGAAGACAAAGATAAAATTCAGGACCCTCGGGTACACATCACTACACTCTTAAAATTAAACCACTGGCTCACCTCCTCAGCTTTCTGGTAGTCTAAGCAAACAGGAGGTCATGCTTCTTAATGTGATATTAATTGCGCATAATGGAAAAGCAAACTAATTTCTAAGAAAGCACAAGGACATTTCTTTCAGAGTTATGTCAGTGCTATCAATCTTGCAGTGAATGTAGGCTGGTATATGGGGACCATGGCTGCAAATACATGGCTGTTTTTGAAAAGGAACCCCCCACTAGACTGCATACAGGATATCAGTGAAAGCAGAGTTCCCAGAATTGAGGCTTGTAGGGAGTAAGTGGAGGTTGCATGAGAAACTTCTGCAGTAAGAGTTACTCTCTTTACATCCTCTCTTCCTACATTTCCCTAATTGATGGTTCTCCATCACCCCCTCAGAGTGCTAAGGAACCGCAGAGAGAAGGAAGCTCAAAGGGGTGAAATTAATATGAATACCCCCATTTTTAGGACCAGGCATCTTGCTGGAGAATGCGTGAATGATTTATGTGTTTATTACAAAATTCTGTATTTTTGATGGAAACACATTCTCAGATAATTTATTCATTCTCACAAAATGTCATGGAAAAAACATATCGGGTGGTTCAGCAATGACAGAATTTTATGGTGATGTTTTTCATCAAGTTGAGCAGTTATAGATTTATGTTAATGTACACTTCATGTCATTTTTCTTGCGATCATATTCTGCCATTATCTGGAAACTATCAGATTTCAAGATCTTATCTTCCCTGAAACTTGGCTTTTTTAATTCTAAAAATGGGTGAAAGTTTATTTGGGGGCAAAGTATTTATATATAATAGTAGTACAGCTTGTTTGTGATGAGCCATTAGCACTCACCACAAATCCAAAAAAAACTGTCTTCTTTTCAGAGAAGGATAGCTGTAATGTTCAAATATAGGGCAGCTTAGCTTCTTAATGCTGAGAATAAAGGACGTTAAAGCGAATTTCTCTTGGCCTCAGATGTGAACCAAGCACAGACTGTGAACCAATTTTCTCTGAGGTGACAAGCATACCATATGCAAGAATGAATTTATAACGAAATACAATATACTATCCAAGAAAAGAAAGAGAATTATACACAGGTGACTGAACATGTACATCCAGAAACATGAGCTTGGTTGAAAAGAAGCAAAATAGAATTCCATATAATACCATCAAAAGGCCTTTCTTCTCATTTGCTTTTAGAGGAATTTGGATGCCAACAAAATTAGAATCAGAGATGAGTTTGAGTTAATCTGGTTTAACTCCCTCATTTTATGCAAGGAAATATAGCAAGAGAAGTGGCTAGCTCAAGGTCACAGAGACCAGAGCCTAGACCAGAACCCAGGGTTTTGTCAACGATGGCAATGTTTCCAGAGTTTTGCTGTATTTGCTAGTACCTAAAATCCATTCTGCAAACTCCCCTCCTGATTCCTGTTATCCCACGCATCCGAACGCTGCAAGGTTTAGTGCTAGACATGAATTGATGGACGATACTGCCCCCTAGTGCCAGAATATGGCAACAAAAAACGTCGCAAAAATGATGGACTTCAGCATCCTTTGGATTTTATCTTAAACAAAAATAACAAGCCTTGGGTCACAGAGGTTATCAGAAATAAATTTAAGATTACTCTCCTATAATCCTAGATTTAAATTTATTTCAGACACAACAAAATCTCAGAAATAGCTTAAAAGCAACAAAAGCAGGGATGCCTGAGTGGCTCAGTTGGTTAAGCGGCTGACTTCGGCTCAGGTCATAATCCCAGGGTCCTGGGATCGAGTGCTGCATTGGATTCCTTGCTCAGTGGGGAGCCTGCTTCTCCCTCTGCCTCTGTCTGCTTGTGTTCTCTGTCTCTGACAAATAAATAAATCTTTAAAAAAAACTTTCAAAACAGAGGCATTGATACAAGATTCAGTTCAAAGTTGATGTCATAAATTTATTATAACTGGTATAAATTTTATAAAAATCCCTCGGTAACAGGACTACAGGAAAGCATTTGCCTCTCCATCACATACACAGGAAAGAATAAGGCGCAGAGAAAAGGAAGGGTGTCTGATAACTGCTCGTTTTAACACATACGGTTTTCTGAAAGAGAAATGTAAAGTAGCCACAAATAAAGCAATTAAAAACAAGGGAGTTAGTACACTATGTGATAACTACTAGGGTAACAGGGCACTTTGTTTAAAATT